AGACATGACTTTATTTGCAGGTTGGCTCACAGAAGTCTTTTAAACAGTAACGTTACTTGTTAGCCCCATGAATAATGCTGATGTGCTAGACAACCTGTTCTCATTGGTCTATCCACCATGGCATACACACCCACAAAAAACAATAAGTCATATTTTCTGAAACTTAAACCAAGTGGTAATTGCCCCTCAACAATACATTTAATAAACATTTTGTTATCCACAGCACGTCTAGTATTTCTGGATTTCAAGGTGAAATTGAGAGAACAAGATAGAATATCGGTATCGGTTTCTTCCTGGACTTTGATGAAAACAAGTCGGCACATTTTTACAGTATGCAAATTAGAATAACACTGTGGATAAGTTGGCCGGAACATTTTTGCTGAAAAGGTTTTTCCCCCAAAAACACTTGGTTGAACTCTCAGAGAGGCGATATTTTCTTGTCAAGGGGCAAGGGTAGTCTAGCATTATTGGAATTAATTATGTGACTAGTATATGCTTTGCAGGTGGGATTTGTATTTGCCTTATTCGGAAAAGATCTTTAAAAGTGAATGGAATCATCACATTGTCATTTGTTAAAAAACGGCTTTTGCAGGTCCTATGCAACCCATTTGATGGGCGACGCACGACGGGCGACGCACGACGGGCGACGAAAAATGGCATGTTTGGAACTGGTAAATGGTAGAATTGGGACACAACAAAAAGCAAAATGCGACGGACGACGGGCGACGACAGATATGGAATTCCATAGTTTCTGGCTACATTTACAATTGTGAACCGAACGCTTTGGCTAACAATCGAAAGGAACCAAAAGTCCAGGAAATGCACAGCACGACAAAAAACAAAAAAAAAGTACTTGGGGCTGAAGGGGGGCAGGGGGCCAGTGGAACATGAACTTTTCGACTGGGGGAATGGTCCACCACTCTTTGCTACTGTGGCGAAACAGGGTAGCTGCGCAGACTTGTGTTTAGTCTGGGTCATTAATAATTCAGGCCGTCTAATTAATGCATTAAACATGCACGAGGCAACCAATCAGAGGCATGCATTACCTTAGGTCTGGGCGCTGGCTTCGTGGGTTGCCAGGACTTCTCAAGATGGCAGCGTGCTAACCAGAGCTCTGTGGAGTTGTGTTATGTTCTGAGTTTCGAGTGTTAATCTGACGTACGACCGCTGGTGGTTGGGGATCTACCTCAAGTGTACCTGGTGCGATCGCTTAGTGTGGTGTTTGTTCTCAGTTGCCGGAGCTGCCGATTATATCAGATCTTTTTGAAGACAGTCTCAGTTATTTAAGAAGTGGTA